ATTCAATCATGTTAAAATATTTCTTTTATACAAACATCTCCTACATGTTATTGTAATGTCATTGTAATTACTTTTTAATTATTTTTGATATTTTTTCGAAATTTTATGACAGATTTCATTTTCATTATAACAAGTTGTTTCGGTTAATAGTTGATTGCAAGTTGTTTCTCAATTTAATAAAAATTAAAGAATGTAAAATATGGACAAACTAAATTATAAAAAAAAAAACAAAAAAGATAACATTTTCAACAATATGTCTTTGTCAAATTAGGAGTTCATTGTCCATAAATACATTTGTCATAAATTGTATAATCGGTAAAAATCATAGAGAAAAATTTTTTTTATATAATTTTGCAGTTTGAAAATATATACTTAATATGATACATTGGACGACTGATTATGTCTCGTAATGTATACTACTATTTATTGATTACTTTATAAAAAACGTATAAGTCAGAAGTAAAAGTATAGTTTCTTTTTCATGTTGCTTTGTGTTTCAATATCGACGTATGTAGAATTAAAATTGAAGAATTTCTCGCGCATCGTCTGGTTGCGAGAAATATCTACCTCATTAGTGATTCCATTTAAATCGACTTTATAACGTATATTTCTTTTCCACCGAGAATAGCACCTACTCCAACAGAATATTAAATGAGTCATATGGAAACATAATACTTCGAGTTACTCAAGATTTCCGTTTAAACACTGACACAAGTCACGCAATGGACGTTTTTAATACGCCATATTTTCGAATTAACAAGGTGTTTCTGACGGTTACTGGTTTGTGGCCAATTCCATCGTCCAACAAGAACATATTATTCTGTTGTGCAATACTTGGTGCACTAATGATAATCTTACCTCAGGTACCTTGCAAATTATTACGACGGATTAAAAAATAAAAATGTAATTTTATACAAAATGCAAAAGTGAAAGAATACAAAATTAGAATTTCTGTAATATAAATTTCTTAAAATTGTGACAAATTTTAACGTATAAATAATTTTATGGAATTACAACAAAGTTATATCACAAATACAATACGCGATGATTTATTAATAGATCATATATATGCTTAAACATGCAAGAAAGTTAGATGAAATTTATGATTTATTATCAACCATTGCTGGTACGTGTATATGTTTGGTGAAAGCAATTAGTGTTCATTGGGAATCTAAAAAAGTAAGCGTGTAGAGCGGGTGGCAATATAAAAAGTTTTTTTTTCATCGAAAAAGAGTTACTATATCTCCAGCTTAGAATGTGCGTTCAACATGTGCGCTATGATTGGAGTTTGTTGTCCGATCACAATGATATCTGCATCTTAAAAGAATACATCAAGAAAAGTCGGATATTTACATTGACCTACATAAGTATACTTCACAATAAATATATCTAATAATTTCTTACGTGACCAATTTTGATAGAGAGATAATACTATTTTTTAGTTTTCATAAGTATAGGTGCAACCTGTTATCTGACGGCACCATTTACTATACGAATAATCGACATCTTACTGGCATCGAACGTAACGAGACCAAAACGATTGCCAAATCCGAGCGAATATTTCTTGGATCTGGAAAAATATTATTACTTTCTTCTAGCAATTACATATGTAGGATATTATGTATGTGGTGTGATAATAATAGCAACCGATACAATCTACATTGCGTTGCTACAACATGCCTGTGGTATATTAGCAATATTGAGGTATATATTATTATTGTATCTCATTTGATTGAAAATTAGTTGTCTTAATATTAAATAACTGTACATTTGCAGTCATCGTTTAGAAAATCTGCCTATGTTCAATAAATCAAGTAATGCCGATTATAATTTTATACCTAAATGGGACACGAATATAAAAGATATAATACAATGTATACAATTACAAATCAGAGTAGAAAGGTTCATATAAATCTATTAAAAAGTTAAATAATTAAATAAAAAAATATTACACATAAAATATATGGATTTTTATCATAAATACTTTTTCTTTTATTTTATATCATACTTTTTCTTTTTATCATAAATAGATTAATTCAATTGATTGAATCAACGTTTGCTGTATGTCTTCTTACTGATATTGGCTTTGGAATTTTATTTCAATGTTCTTCGTGCGTGATGGTATATAATAATATATAATAATTCTTAATAAACAGTGAATAGGTATTTAATAAATTGTCGATGTTGTTGCATGTTACAATTGAAAATATTCTCTTTCATACTGATACAAAATGATTTTATCTATACGTCATTGTATAGATCGTGACTTATACGAATACCGAGTACCTAATGAAAAATTGTCCACTTCTGGCAATGCAAAGTATTCGACTTTTCTTCAATAGTTGGATAGGACAGAGAATCATAGATCACAGTTCTCAGATTCCGTTTGCAGCGTAAGTTATTAACTTAAATAATCTATGGCTTCTCTATATAGGAATTATAATATAATTTCAGATATAATGGAATATGGTATCAAATGTCTTTGGAAGCAAGGAAAATGTTGTTGTTTCTAATAATGAAATGTCGAAAACCTTATCACATAACTATGGCCAAATTATACATTATTAGTCTGGAAGGTTATAGTATGGTACGTATAAATTTAATACATGAATAATAATTATAAAAATAAACAAATCTAAAATTGGTATAAATAGTCTGACTTTGCTTAATATTTATAAAAAATATAAAAATAAAAGTATAAAAATTTTTTAATTTTACGTTAAAAGGTATATTTAACATTACATTATACTTTTAAGCTAATGAGAGCATCAGCTTCTTACATTACACTAATGATATCATTAAATACGAATGACGCCTAATGAACAGATTTTTCTGGATTTCTGTGATTTCTTTGTGCATCGCCTCATAAAGAGCATAATTGAAAATAAAAAATCATAAAAATTATTATATTTCATTTTATAATTACCATATCATTTTGAAAACGTTTTAACGCTACAAGAGTATGTGGTAAAAAATTTTAATTAATTATGACTAACTTTAGCAATATCATTTAAAATCAAATATTGCAATTAAATCTATTTCTCTAAATTTTACAACTTTTATCTAAAATATTTCTTTCAAACGTTAATCATTTTGAAAATATTTCCGGATTTTTAAAATCTTTTATATATATACATATATTACATTTTTATAATGTATTAAATCATGTTAAAATATTTCTTTTATACGAACATCTTCTACATTATTGTTACATTATTGTAATTTACATTATTGTAATTACTTTTTGATATTTTTTTGAAATTTCATTACAGATTTCATTTGCATTGTAACAAATTATTTCGTTTAACAATTAATTATAAATTGTTTCTCAATTTAATAAAAATTAAAGAATGTAAAATATGGAGGAACTAAATTATAAAAAAAACAAGAAAAGATAACATTTTCAACAATATGTCTTTGTCAAATTAGGAGTTCATTGTCCATAAATACATTTGTCATAAATTGTATAATCGGTAAAAATCATAGAGAAAAATTTTTTTTATATATAATTTTGCGGTTTGAGAATATATATTTAATATGATACATTGCACGACTGATTACGTTTCGTAATGTATACTACTATTACTTATTGACTTCTTTATAAAAACGAATAAGTCGGGAGTAGAAGTAAAGTCTTTTTTTCATGCCGCTTTGTGTTACAATATCGACATACGTAAAATTAAAATTGAAGAATTTCTCACGTCTGGTTGCAAGATATATCTACCTCATTACTGATTCCATTTAAATCGACATATTACAACGTATATTTCTTTTCCACCGAGAATGCACCCATACTCCAACAGAATATTAAATGAGTCATACGGAAATATTACTTCGAGTTACTCAGGATTTCCGTTTAAACACTAGCGTAAGTCACGCAATGGACGTTTTTAATACCCGATATTTTCGAATTAACAAAGTGTTTCTGACAGTTACTGGCCTGTGGCCAATTCCATCGTCCAACAAGATCGCATTATACTATTGTGTAATATTTGGTATATTGATAATACTTTTGCCACAGGTATTTTGCTAATTATTTTATACAAAGATAAAAGATAAAAATGTAAATTGAAATTTATGCAATATGATTTTTCTAAAATTCATAAAAATTTTTATAACGATTTAAATTATTTTACGGGGTTATAATAGAGTTATATTTGTCACATTAAATACATTATTCGATGATTTATTAATAGTTTGCATACATATTCAAGTATGTGAGAAGGTTGGATGACATTTTTGATCTTGTGCCGACTATTGCTGGTGTATGTATATGTTTGGTGAAGACAATTAATCTCCATTTAAAATATAAAAAAGTAAGCATGTAGAACGTATCATAGAAAGATAGTTTCATCGAAAAAAATTATTATATCTCCAGTTTAGAATGTGCATTGAACACGTGCGTCATGATTGGAGTTTATTAGCTGATCACGATGATATTTGGATTCTAACAGAATATGGGGAGAAAAGTCGATTGTTTACATTGGCCTACATAAGTATACTTAAGGATAAGTACATCTATCTAATGTTTCTTTAAGCAGTTATATAAAAAGAAAGATTTGTTTTCAGTATTTGTAAGCGTAGGTGCGATTAGTTTTCTGACGGCACCATTCACCATACGAATAATCGACATCTTATTGGCGTCGAACGTAACGAGACCGAAGCGATTGCCGAGTGCGAGCGAATATTTCTTGGATCTGGAAAAGTATTATTATTTTCTTCTGGCAGTTACATATGTAGGATATATTACAACCGTTGTGATAATAATAACAGTCGATACTATTTACGTGGCATTGCTGCAACATGTCTGTGGTATATTAGCATTATTGAGGTATCTTAATGTTACTTCAATTCATTCTAATAAGGGTAAGGTAAGGTAACTATTTTAATATGTACATAGCTGTACTATATTTGCAGTCATCGTTTGAAAAGATTGGCTACGTCTAATCAATCAGATAATGTTGATCGTAATCCTAAATGGGACAAGAATATTGAGAACATAATACAATGCGTACAATTGCAAATCAGAGTAGAAAGGTTATAAGTCTATTAAATCGTATAAATCTATTAAATCTTCCCTAAAAAATATTATACATAAGATATTATTGTAAATATTATTATACATAAGATATTATACATAAGATAAAAAGATCTTCTTGTTTCTGTCATTGATAGACTAATCAAGTTGATTGAATCAACATTTGCTATATGTCTTCTTGTTGATATTGGATTTGGAATTCTATTTCAATGTTCTTCATGTGTGATGGTAGATATATAATAAGTTCTCAATAAACAATTATTAGGTATTTAAAAAACTGCTTCATCGTTATTACAATAAATAATATTCTTTTCCATTAATATAAAGTGATTTTATAATTCACTATAGATCGTGACTCACACAGATACTACATATCTAATGAAAAACTGTCCACTTCTAATAGTGCAAAGTGTTCGACTTTTTTTCAACAGCTGGGTAGGAGAGAGAATCATAGATCACAGTTCTCAGATGTCTTTTGCAGCGTAAGTCCTTAATTTAATTAATTAACAATCTAATAATCAATCTATCTGAAGTATAATACATTTACAGATATAATGGATTATGGTATCAAATGTCTTTAGAAGCAAAAAAGATGTTGTTATTTTTAATAATGAAATGTCAGAAACCTTATCACATAACTATGGCTAAATTATACATAATTAGTCTAGAAGGTTACAGTATGGTACGAAAAAACTTGATATAATAATTGTTAAAATAAATAAATCTAAAATTTATATAAATAATCTAACTTTAAATAATATTTATGAAAAGTATAAACATATGTTCTTTAAGTTTATATAAAAGACTTATTTATTTAATATTACATTATATTTTTAAGCTCATGAGAACGTCTGTTTCCTACATTACATTAATGCTGCAAGTAACCTCGAATGATGTTTAATGAACTGACTTCTGCATTTTTGTGGTTTCTTTACACATCTCGTAAAAAACATAAATAAAAAATTAATAAAAATATCTCCGTTTTCATGCATATTATCATATTTCATTTTATAATCACCATATTATCTTAAAAACATTTCAATAATAGCTACAAAAATATACAATAAAAAAATAGATTCTCTAGTCTATAAAAAATTCTAATTAATAATAACATAACTTTGGCAGTGCCATTCAAAATCAGATAGTTTATAAATCCACCATAAAATTTATTTCTTTTACATTTTTTATCTAACTTTATAAGACTATGATTTCTTTTGTAATAACTTTTTTTATTTTATTTTATTATTATTTTTATTTTACTTTATTTAAATAGGAATGATTTCATATAATTAATTATTTTTTAATTTAATTTAATAAAAAAATTAAATTTTAGAAACAAGAAAAAATAAATAAATACTTCCGATGGTACGTCCTCGTCAAACGAAAAATTCACTATATAAGTGCATATGCTATATGTCAAATAATTGCTATAAATCTTTATAAACAGAAATTTTCTTTTTATATTTTTGCTTTCTTCCTTTTACTTTCTTCCTTTTTTTGCTTATTTTCTTTTCATATTTAAAAAATATATATTTAGTATAGTACATACGGCGATTACATCATGCTGTATATATCTATATGCTATTATTGACTGTTTTACAAAAACCGGTAAAACTGTAAAGTGTACCTATCATATTATTTTCTGTCACAATGTCGGCAACACATAAAATTAAAATTGCAGGACTTCGCATGGCTGCATGGTATCGCTCGGCTGCGAGAAATATGTTCCCTTATTACTGATTCCATTTAAGTAGCTGTATTATAATATACATTTTCTTTCTCACTGGCAACTCGACGCTCCAAGAGAATATTAAATGAGTCGTGTAGAAATATCAATTCGAATTATTTAAGAATTCTGCTTAAACACTGACACTAGTCAGGCAATGGATGTCTTTGATACGCGATATTTTCGAATTAACAGAATGTTACTGTCGACTGTCCGTCTCTGGCCAATTCAATCATCATCTAAGAAAAATACACTTCTTTATTGTGCAATTCTTAGTAATATATTATTTATAATTTTGCCGCAGGTAATTTTGCAAATTATTTTATACAAAATGAAAAGTAAAAGAATAAAAGTTAGAATTTCTGTAATATAAATTTTCTTAAAGTTTTGGCAAATTTTTAAATTATTCTACGGATTTGCAACAAAGTTGTATACACATATGTACCTCACATTAAATCCGATATGCGATGATTACTAACAGATCGCATACTTGTTCAAACATGCGAAAAATTTGGATGACTTTTATGATCTTCTACCGACCCTCCTTGGTGCGACTATATGTTTCATAAAAATAATTGGTTTCCATAAAAAATTAAAAAAAGTAAGTAAAAACGTGTCGTAAATGCAGAAAACTATTATTTATAAAAAAAATTATTCACCTCTAGTTTAGGATACTCGTTGAGCATGTGCGTTATGATTGGAACTTGTTAGCTGATCACGACGATACTTGGATTCTGATAGAATACATCAAGAGGAGTCGGATATTCACATTAATCTACTTGAGTATACCTAAGAATAAGTACATTTACCTAGTGTTTTTCTCATGCAGTTTTATGCAAAAAAAAGATAATTTAATTTCAGTTTTTTTGAGCATAACTGCGATTTGTTCTGTATCAGCACCAATCACATTACCAATAATCGATAACATAATGGGATCAAATGTAACGAGACCGAAGCGATTGCCGCATCCAAGCGAGTTCTTTTTTAATCTGGATAAATATTATTACACTATTCTCGCAATTTCATACGTAGGATACGCTCTATGCGCTATGATAATAATGGCAACCGATACCATTTATTTTGCGCTATTGCAACATGTCTGCGGTGTATTGACAATATTGAGGTATGTGTTAATTTTATTTTAATTCATGTTAATAAAAAAGCAACGGTCTTAATGTGCACATAATTGTACATTTGCAGTTATCGTTTGAAAAAGTTGACTATATCCAATGAATCAGATAATATCGATCATAATCGTATGTCTAAATGGGACAAGAATATTCAGAATATAATACAATGCGTACACTTACAAATCAGAATAGAAAGGTTCATATAAACCTAATAAAGTATATTAATCCTAATGAAAAATATCATAAATATATATATATATCTTTTTCTCTTATTAATAGACTAATCCACTTGATTCAGTCAACGTTTGCTGTATCTTTGTTCACCGATATTGGTTTGGGAATTTTGTTTCAATGTTCTTCATGCGTGATGGTACATATAATAAATTCTCGATAAACAATAAATATAAATATTTGACAAAGCGTAGATTCGTCGATATCAGTATAAAACGATTTTACAATTTGAGCATTATTGTGCAGATCGTGATGCATACAGACACTGTATATTTAATAAAAAACTGTCCGCTTTTGCTTATTCAATCTAGTCGAATGCTCTTTAACAGTTGGCTAGGACAGAGAATTATTGATCATAGTTCTCAGATTTCTTTTGCAATGTAAGTTATTAATTTAATTAATTAATAACTTTCTCTCTCTCTCTCTCTCTCTCTCTCTCTCTCTCTCTCTCACTTCAAAAATTAATACATTTTCAGATATAGTGGACTGTGGTATCAAATGTCTTTGGAAGCAAAAAAGATGTTGTTATTTTTAATAATGAATTGTCAAAAACCATATCGTATAACTATAGCCAAACTGTACGCAATTAGTCTAGAAGGTTACAGTATGGTATGAACAAATTTGATATCTTGATAATAAGCAATATGAAAATAAGTAAATTTAAAATCTGCGTAAATAATCTGACTTTATATAATACTTATAATAAGCATAAAATATCTTTCTTAATTTTATATATTAAAATATATTTAATATTACATTATAATTTTAAGCTTATGAGAATGTCTGCTTCCTATGTTACATTAATGATATCATTAAATTCAAATGATATCTAAACTCACAAACTCACTTCTGGATTTCTATGGATTTTTTGAGCATCATCTCGTAAAAAATATGATTGTGAATAAAAATATCTTCAAAATGTATAATACAATATTTCATTTTATCACATTTTAAAATTATATTGTTTTGAAAACAGTTGGAAATATATATAATAAAAAATGTGATGATTTCTATTTAAAAAAAATTCAAGTTAATCATAGCTTAGCTTTAGCAATGCCAATTAAGTCAGATACTGTCAATAAATCCGTCCATTTAAATATTACATCTTTTATCTAAAACATTTTCTTAAAAAAATTATTAAAAATTATTAAAAATTTCGTTCAAATTAATTGTTTTTAAGATTACATTTAAAGCTTTCCAAACTTTTGAAAGCTTCTGCATTTTTACAAAATATTTAATATAATATTATAATATTTATTATACAGATATATTTTATATATTACATATACTATTGTAATTATTTTTAATGCTTTTGTAATTTATGTAGGTATTGAAAAATTCAATTTCGATAAAACCTGCAGCTATATAAATAAATTTATAACATGCACATTTTCTAGTTTCTACTTTGTCGCAAAAACATAATTTTAAATAGAAAAAGTACTTCTGTTTTTATATATATTATCAAATTTTAGTTTTTTGTTAACATACGCAATTAGTATTAATAATGCAATTATATTATCTCGTATTTTTGTTATTTAAATTTAAATTATTTATAAAAACGTGAAAAAATAAATATTCAATATCAAGTAGTTTACGACGTTCACTTTTGTTATATATACTGTATCATAGTATTATTTCTATATACATAACACTTCTATATATATTAACATATTTTTTTAATATATATTGTGTACAGTAAATTTAATATATAAAAATTTTACTATACTCTATGATAATACATATATTGAGGTGTTATCAATATTAGAAAAATTAGGTATCATACTGATATTTTTATATACATAATTACATAACTTAACACATTCTTTAAATCCAAATTTCATCACATAAATTCAATATAAATAAAATAATATATCGTAATAATCCATTTTGTAAACAAAAGATCTTCGCTTTTAAGAAATATGTATCTAATAATCGATGTACATCCTATAAACAGACATACGGCGATCAATTATATTATACGAATAGTATATAATATAGTATATAACGGTCTCATCTATTTTAAAAAATCAGCTACATTGCATAGAACTAAACGTTACCATCGTATTGCTTCATGCTGTGAAGTCGACGAAATTAAAATTGCAAAACTTCTCGCATATTGTCTAGCTGCAGCTATCCTTATTATTGATTCTATTTAAACCGACATATTACAATACAATATTTCTTTGCCAGTGGCAATGCATAACACCTCAAGGGAATATCAAATGAGTCACGCCGTTGACGAAAACTTTACTTCGTGTTATTCAAGAATTCTATTTCAACATAAACATAAGTTATCTAATGGAGGTCTTTGACACTCAATATTTCCGAGTTAACAAACTGTTACTCTCGTTCGTCGGTCTGTAGCCATTTCAATCATCATTTAATAAAAATAAAAATTATTGTACAATACTTGGTCTATTAATTACATTACTTACAGGTATTTTGCAAATTATACAGGACAAAGATATGGATTAAAAAGTTGTAAGAGAATCAAAAAGAATTTTTATAATATAAATTTTCTAAAATTTCTTACGATTTTTATAATAATTTATTTTATTTGATTTATTATTTATTATTTATTATGAAATTACCACAAGTATTGCGAATGCTGCATTAAATAAAATACGCGATAATTTATTAACAGATCGGATATTTATTTAAACACACAAAAACTTTAAATGATATTTTCGATGTTCTGCCAACTTTTGCTGGCATGTGGCTATGTCTCCTGAAAGCAAGTAGTCTCCGTTGGAAATATAAAAAATATAAAAATATAAAAAATATAAAAAAAGCATATAAATCAATATAAGAAGATTTACTTTCCATAAAAGAAATTATGTCCTCAGTTCACAATGCTCATTCAGCATGTGAGTTATGACTGGAATTTATTATCAAACCACGATGATATTTGGATTTTAATAAAATATGTCGAGAGAAGTCGAATCATCACATTAAGCTATTTATATACCATCTAACAATAAGTATACTCAATAATCGACTATCTAAACGATTAAGCAAAGAGTGACAATCTTTTTTACCAGTTTTTATCAGCACGGGCATTAACTTCATGACAACCCCAGTCACTATACCAATATTCAACATCATATTGTCATTGAACGTAACGAGACCGAAGCAAATGCCGCATCCGGCCGAGTTCTTCGTGGATATGGAAAGGTATTATTATATTTTGCTAGTAATTACGTTTGCAGGATATGTTGCATGCTGTACAGTATTGATCGCAGCCGATACCATCTACGTCGCACTGTTGCAACACGTCTATGGTGTTCTGACTGTATTGAGGTATTTCAGTTTTAACTCATTTTTATCAGAGAAAATATTTCTCTCCTTTATATACATATCGAATTGTATATTTGCAGTCATCGTTTAGAAAAACTAGCTATGCAGAATAAATTGGAATATATCGATTGCGATCTCATATCTAAAGTGGATAAAAATATTGAGAAGATGCATACAGCTACAAGTCAGGATAGAAAGGTTCATATAAATATAATATATCGTATAAAGATTATTATAATTATACTAATTTCTTTTAATTTTGTCCCTCTATTTATTATGAATTATTATTAGATTAATTAAGTTGATTGAATCGATGTTTGCGATATGTTTGTTTACTGACATCGGTTTGGGTATTCTACTCCAATGTTCTGCATGGTAAGTAAATTCTTATTAACAATTAATATCTATTTAAAAAGTGCATCATTATAAAAGAAAATATTTTATCACTTCTGCATTGATCAAAATTAACCGAACACAGATCACTAATTTCCTAATTTTTTCATTCATTGTGCAGATTGTAACTGATATAGATACTGATATAGATACTGATATAGATACAACAAAAATAATAAGACACCGATTTTGTTAATGCAAACTACTAGGATTTTTTTCAATAGCTGGATGGGACAGAAGATAATAGATCACAGTTCTCAGATATTTGATGCAGCGTAAGTTATCGATTTAATTGACAGTACTATAATTTACAAATTATATTGTATTTTTAAATATAACGGAAGATGGTATCAAATGTCTTCAAGTGAAAAAAATGGTGCTTTTTGTTATGATGAAAAGTACAAAACCATACTGCCTAACAATGGCCAAATTGTATTATATATAATCTATTTGGAAAGTTACGACTCAGTAAAGTTTATTATATTAATAAAAGCTATAAAAATAAATATATAAATGTGTGTGTAAAAATATTAACTTTACATAATCTTTACATAATAATCTTTTATATAACATTTAAAATACACAAAAATATTCTATACGTAAGATACTCAAAATTATATATGAAAAAATGTACACAGTTAATATTACATTTAAGCTCATGAGAACATCCGCTTCCTACATTATGTTAATGCTGTCATTAACCTCGGATAACGTGTAATTATCAACCATCTGGAATTCTGTGGTTTCTTTATGCATCATCTGATAAAAAATATAATTGTGAATAAAAATATTTCTGTCTGTATATATACTTGTGTATATACTACTATATCGTATTTTATTTGATAAATTGCAATTACAACATTTCTTATTTTTATTTCATATTTCGTTTTGAATTGAATTTAATAAATATAATTGCTTGTTTATAACTTTAATATATCTTCTTTTATTTATTTG